ATTTTAAACTTGAAAAGTAACAATTTGATTTCCAATAATAAATGCTACAATATTTGTTGCGACATACAGTATACTGTTAATATATTTTTTGTATGTACACATTCAGATTTCTTCTTCTTCTTTCTTTCTTTACCTACCTAGGCTAGCTACAGTGTGGCGCCAAAACAGAGCGACTCTCGAGACTCTTCCCTCTTTGCTTCTCTTTTTTTTTTATATTTATATAATATATATAATTCCTTAGAATATTTTATTTTTCACTATAATTTCATTTATAATAAAACTATTGGTTTTTTTTTTATTTCAAATACCATTCAATAGTTTTACCAATTTGTTTTATTAGTAAAATTGTAACAAAAGTTATGCCACCCTGTTTCGTATCTTTTTATATCTTTATATAACGCAGAATGATTTACATTTTATTTACCTGCTTACTCTCAATTATATATAACACGTAGAAATGGAAAAATTAATAAAGTTAAAAAAATACAATACTCTTCAGCTACCGCACGTACAATATTATTCATCTTTTTTTTTTGTATCTGTTATTTTTTTTCTCGAAAAACGCATCGAACATTCATTTTTTTTTGTACAGAAATTATTATGTATTTATTGTTACATTATGTCACTTTTCGTAAATAATATTTTTTTTTTATTAATGCAGCTAGCGTCGGTCCTGTTGTATATATATTTTTTGTTTTGTAAATTTTTTTTATTAAGTTACACGCAGTTATAATTGCTAATAAATATGTATCTTTATAAATTTAATAAACATTGCAATTTTGGGATTTAAAGTAGATCTAAAAACATATTTTTGGTTTTGTTTCTTTTTAAATTCGGGTACAAAATTTAACAACTTTTTTTTCCTTTGGTATAATAGAAAATGGGCAATGTTTAAGGAATATATAGACATACTCTGTAAATTATTTTCTTTTTAACATTTTATTTGATTACAAAATCCAGTTCAAAAAGAATCAAAAATTTTAATTTTCGATTACTATTTGTAATGTTGATTTTGTATCAAATTAGGTATGATATATATATTTTTGGTTTGAATTTATTTGGAAAATTGAAAAATGAATCTTGCAGCAAAAAATGTTGCAATTTTTTTTCCTTTGGGGAAAAAATTCTTAATGTATTTTTTTTCATGAAGTGAGAATAGCTTTAAAAAGCAGTTTTTTTTAGATCTTAATATTGTATAGGTATATGTATAATTATACTTAAGCTGTGTATATTAACCCCTTAACAGTCCATGGCCCATATATGGCCACGAAAAGTCGTGCCACCTTTGCGTCTGTGGCCATATATGGCCATCTCAAAAAAAAAATACTAAACATGATTTGATTTTAGTAGCGAAGTACATACTACTGTTTTTGGGGTCGCTGAATCCGAATCTGAAGTCAGATTTAAAAAATTCAAAATGGCGGACCCAAAATGTTGACTTCGAAAAATAAAAAAATTTCAAATTCGCTTTAAACTCGTTACTTGGGGGGTTTTCGGGGTCTCTGATTACAAATATGATGTCAGATTTTTAAAATTCAAAATGGCGGATCCAATATGGCGGATAATTTCAAGATTGATGCGATTCGATTAAAATTCGTTTCTCGGGGGTTTTTGGGGTCGCTGAATTTGAATTTGATGTTCGTTTTACAAAATTCAAAATGTTGGATCCAATATGGCGGATAATTTCAAAATTTATGCGTTTTGATCGAAATTCCGTTCCCGGGGTTTTTTGGGGTCGCTGAATTCGAATTTGATGTTCGTTTTTCTAAATGCTAAATTTTGGATTCAATATGTCGATCAAATTTTTTGAATGTTGACAAATTTGTCTAAAATGTTTACTCAGGGGTTTTTGAGGTAACTTCATATTTTTTTCGCATCAATCTTGAAATCATCCGCCATATTGGATCCGCCATTTTGAATTTTGAAAATCTGACATCATATTTGTAATTAGAGACCCCGAAAACCCCCGAGTAACGAGTTTTAAGGGAATCTGAAAAAAAATTTTTTTTTGAAGTCGACATTTTGGGTCCGCCATTTTGAATTTTTTAAATCTGACTTCAGATTTGGATTCAGCGACCTCGAAAACCCCCGAGAAATGAATTTCCCTTAAAACGCTTTAATTTTAAAATTATCCACCATATTTGGTCGCCATATTGGATCCGCCATTTTGAATTTTCAAAAATTAACCTCAAATTCGAATTCAGCGACCCCAAAAACCTTATATATGATTAAATCATATTTTTTTGTAAACTTTTTTTTCGGACCGTTTTTGGACCACAAGCGATTTTCAACTAGACTGCGAAGGGGTTAATTATGGTTGATTTAATTAGCATAATACGAAAGCTCGAAAGTACCAATTTTCGTTTATACTTTCGTTCACTTTTTTTGCGCTCGCTTTATTTCCTAAAAACTATTATTATTTTGCGAAATAATTTTTTCAAGTCCTTGCTGGTTACTTGCGAAGAATTTAATTTTTTAAACTTTTCGAAACAAATATTTAAAGAGTAATAATAAAACATAAAGTAATAAGAAGACAAAGAAAGTAAATAAAATAGTATAAATAAAATAAATACAATCAATGAAATAAGTAAAAAAAATTAAAATATGTAAAATAAATAAAATAAATAAGTAAATAGTAAAAATACAATAAAATTTGACATTACATTAAAATGGTAATACTGGATTTTTTGTTATTGAATTGGTTCGTTGATCATTTACTTAACTAATAAATTTCTTAATTAATCTTTTAGATTTTTTCACCAGGTTAACTAATTAATTATAATTAATTGTAATTAACTAATTAATTATAATTAATTAACTAATTCACGTGTCAATTAATTAAATTAAAGAATTTATTAATTTAAAAAGTAATTAATTTTTTTCACTAATTAGTTGATTTATTGCTAAGTTAATTAGTTAATTCATTAATTAGTTTGAAGTTGAATAAAATTTATTTAATTAAATAAAAATTTAATTTAAATTAAAAATTTTTTATTGAATATTGAATTCATTTAAATTAAATTAATTTTGTTAATTAATTCACAAGTAAAATGACTCGTAAAATAATAATTTATCAAATTAAACAGCTAATTAAGAAAATAAATAGTCTCTCACTTTTCATTATAAATTTCCTAGAGATAATTAGTTGATAAATTTATAATTTTCAATTGTAATTATAATATTAAAAAAATATCCTCATATATTTCGTAAAACTTTACCAAGTAAAAACACACTATTTGATAATTTTTAGGAAAACAATAAATTACTTATTCAGGGAACTTCTGTGCGTTGTATTTTAAAAATAAAGAATTGACAAGAACGTAATAATCGATTTTAAAATCGTTTATTTTTTTTTTAATGTTTTGTATGAAATTTTATGTTTCTAAATACTTTCATAATTGAAAAATGTTGCGTTGCTTTTTGTGGATAATTTAATTTTTTATAAAAAGAGTTTATTTAATTTTGTTAAATTAACTTTTTTAAGTTAATTTTAATTAATTTTGTTAAATTCTTTTTTAAAGTTAATTTTAATTAATTTTGTTAAATTCATTTTTAAAGTTAATTTTAATTAATTTTTTTAAATTAACTTTTATGGATGAAAAATTTAATTTTTATGAATAAAAAAATAAATTCATTTTTAAAGTTAATTTTAATTAATTTTTTTAAATTAACTTTTATGGATGAAAAATTTGATTTTTATGAATAAAAAATTAATTTGAAAAAATATAATAGCAAATACCCTACAGATATAAATTTAAATTTAAATGGATCTTGATATTAACTACAGGTGTTATAAATAATTTATTTATGACTATCCGAAGGTTAAAAAAATAGATTTCGACACTAAGTATATTTATTCATCAATTCCAGTCATTTATTATTGTTTTCTTGACTACCACCTCCGGATGTTCAATCAAATGATATTTTAATTAATTATATTTCTATATAAATGCATTTTAATTTAATGTATTTTTAGTCTTTTCTCGTTGCTTCGGGAAAACAAAATTTAATGTAGAATATAAAAATAAAAAATTATCAAAATAAATTAGTCTTAATTGCAATTTTTCTTGTTGCATTTTGAAATAATTCATTTCAAAATATTTTGAAAAAAAAAATTAAAAAACACTATCCACAAGTTTTAAACGCTCAAATGAACGAAATACTTTTTTAAAAAGTATTTGCATAAATTACTGATTGCAATTAAAATTTTAATAGCAAAAATTAAAATTGAAAAAAATCATAAAAAAATTAAAATTTAAGTAAATTTAATTAATTATTAAATTAAATTATTATTATTATTATTATTTAATAAACAAATTATTGTTTTTTAACGTTTAATTTAATTACAATTAATGTTGTTGATAGTGATGCTAATGTACTGTAAATAAAAATTAAAGAATTATTTTAATAAATTTCGAATTTTTCATAATTTTTAAAACTTTTCTGAGGAGGAATAAGAAAAAAAAAGAAAAAGAAAAATGGATTTTCAAAAACATGATTATTTTATATTAAGAAAATGCGAACTTTGAAGTATTTTAAAATATAAGATTATAAGAAAAATTCCAAGCACGTTTTAGGATTCATGCCGTACAAATAAAAGGCGAACCTACTTTTTTCCAATACAATCAGTATTTTTTGATTTCTAATCAGCATTCTGCTGAGTCCTCGAAAAAGATCGAAAACAAGCAATTCTGTTATTGCTCTAGCATTATTGATACAATTTTTTCAAATTATATACACTGATGATATTTCCAAAAATTACGAGTAACATCCAGAATTTTTTTTTGTTTATAGTCAAAGATCACTGACGAATTTATTTCCTTATTAATAATATTATTTAATGTTAATGTTAAATTTTTGTTTTTAATCAAAAATGTTTTTCTTCTATTTTAAAAAAAAATGAATAATTTCCTCTTTTTCTCTCTCTCTCTCTCTCTAATATAAAAGAGGAAGCAAAATGAATAATGCAAAAGTAAAAGAAGTTATTTTTTTTTAGAATATTTTCTCTGCCCATAGATAGTGAATTTGATTTTATTTTTTTGTTTATAAATACAGTGAAGTTTTGTGATGATGAATGATTCTAAATTTGAAGTCAAAAAAGGAAATATGATGACTTTGTGCTTACTCTCGATCACTTGTTCTTTCTTGATTTTCCGTTCCCAATAGTGTGGATTTATCTTCGGGTCCTTCAATTTCTGGTTCTTCAATATTTACCGGTCGCTTTCTTCGAGACAATCGCAATAAAAATAAAAGTACGAGGGACGATAGACACAGTAGACCAACGAGGACTCCCAAAATGCTGAAAATTGTGTTTAACATTGGAAGAGTAAATCCTGTGCCCTGAAATTAAAATAAGAAATTATTTTTTAGAAATAAATATAATATTAATTTATTAATGTTATTTAATAATTTAAGAGGTTGTTTACAAACTATGTCACGCTATTTTTATTTAAATTTTAAAATTTCACGAAAGAATTGAATTATTTTCTAAAATTTTAATAAATCCTTCGAAGCAATTCAATTATTTTTTTAAATAGTAAAATCTTTGCAAAAATTCAATTATTTCCAAGAAAATTTCACGAATGAATTCAATTTTTTTCTTAATTCGTTATAAAATTTTTTAAAAGAATTTAATTATTTACAAAAACTATAATGTAATTATTTAAAAGAGTTTAATTTTCTATCAATCATTTTAATAAAATTTTAATAGTTTTTAACTGTTAATTAAAATACAAAATCGATAATACTCAATAAATTTAAGAATTTTTTTGAAATAATTTAGTTATTTTCAAAAACCTTTTTATTCTTCGAAAGAATTTAATTATTTTCTATATTTTAATAAAATTCCTTGAATAAATTTAATCATTTTAAAACAGTTTAACAAAATTAAATAAATAAATGATTAATTTGAATGATTAAGAAACACGATTATTTTAAAAACTTGTTAAGAATATTTTTTTGAGAATATGTTAAAAAAATATTCGTTGATTTGAACGTTGAAAACTTTAGGGAAATTAATTTTTATATTTTCGTAAGTCCGTTTAAGTAATTAAATAAATAAATAAATTTTCTAAATATTTTTTTTGTTAATTCTTGTTTATTGTATTATTTTTAATAGACTCCTACAATTTAAATAAATAATCAAGTCGGACTATTTTTTTTTCAACTTTTAGAGAAAAAAAATACTTCAACTATTTGCGCATTTATCTCAGTATAATTTCCAAATCTCATTTTTCAATATACTCTCAAAATAGAAATTCAAATTTTTTCTTCAATTTTCAAACTCTTCAATGTAAGTATGAATTGAAAATTTCAAACTTCCCCTGCATTACAAAAAGTTAATAAATTTTAAATAAATATGAATAGAAAATTTGAAGAGAAAATCGATATATTCATAAATAAATTAAAAGAGTTTGAAAAGAACATCCTTGAAATGTAACAATCTCTGCAATTTTGAAAATTGAAAACTTTAGTTTTCCTTATTTTATTGATAAAAATAATGAAGAGCTCTAATTAAAAAAGAAAAAAGACGAAAAAAATGGAGAAGAACATCGCAAGAGCGCGAATACCGCTTCTGTTCTGCTTTTAGATTCACCAACACGCTTTGTCTATCGATCAGAAGCTTTTACTGCACCGTGATCAATATTTATGTCAGATCCTAATTCAAACTGATAAATCTGTTTTAGTTTCATCTTTTAATGATAACCTGTCTGCTAAAATGGTCTCTTAAAAAATAATTGCGACCTTTTAGCAATTAGACGTGTAATTGAATTTTAAAAAGTGGGGAAATTGATTTTTTAATTTTGCCTTTCGGTTCGAAGAATGATAAAATAAAATAGAAACAAAGTTAACAATATTCTATTTAAATAAAAAATAAATTAAAAATGAAAGAAAATAAAAAGTGGTTTACGTTAAATAAAAGGTTAAATGAAAATTAAGCCGAAATAAAATTGACTTGGCCTCAAAATAGTTTTACAGTTTTTTTCTTATTTCCTAAATATTTAAAAAATGCGGAACTAGTGCCATTTTTAGCAACAAAAATAAAAAAAAAATAGTTTTCGACGCTGAGCGGCGAAAAACATTTTTTCACGAAACTGAAACGAATCAAAGAATTTTTTTAAAATAGTTTTACAGTAAGAAAGTACTCTTAACATTTTTTTTATTTCCGAAATATTTGAAAAATGCGGAACTAGTGCCATTTTTAGCAATAAAAATAAAATAAATAGTTCTCGACGCTGAGCGCCGAAAAAGATTTTGCACGAAACTTGAAACGAATCAAAGAATTTTTTAAAAATAGTTTTACAGTAAAAAAGTACTCTTAACATTCTTTTTTATTTCTAAAATAATTGAAAAATGCGAAACTAGTGCCATTTTTATCAATAAAAATAAAAGAAAAATAGTTTTCGACGCTGAGCGCCGAAAAACTTTTTACACGAAACTGAAAAAAAAATTTTCAAAATAGTTTTACAGTAAAAAAGAACTGTTAACATTTTTTTGATTCCCTAAATAATCGAAAAAGGTGAAATTAGTGCCATTTTTATCAATAAAAATAAAAAAAAACAGTTTTCGACGCTGAGCGTTGGCGCCAATTTCAGGGATCTGAAATGTTATCCTAGAAAATAAAAGATTTGATATTTAAAAAAAGGAAACTCACCTGCCACCTCGGGTCCGATGGCATCCACTCAAAGGGCCATTTTTGTGGCCAAGGTTTAATTGTGCCTTCCGGTGTTTTGAAGATCAAACCCTCTAAACTTAAACCCCTCGCCAAAACACTGGTGGTGATGTTTCCCTTCTTGTACGACGCTATTCCAGCTTTCATGTACATTTGCGGTATCGTTTCATTTTCCCGTAATTTTAAAGTCACTCGTGGCATTTTCGGCTTCAATGGCATTCCCGTCACCATTGACGATTTTAATTCTAACGAAGACGAGGCAAAGGTCGATGAACTCAATGATGATATTGGTGCCGGCGATGACACTGACGCGATCGATGACGCCGACACAATTGATGACGACGTCAATGGCATCGTTGAATACAAACTTTTTCGAAAGTTCGTCGCGTACGTTGTCGAGGGAATCGGTGGTGGTCGATTTGTCACCAGATTTATTTCTAAAAAAAGGAAAAATGATATTTATCTATTTATTAATAAATTTATTCGAAAATAAATAAATGAATAAAAATAATAATTTATTGAAAAAGAAAATTCTTTAATAATTTAAATGAAGAAAAAATTTATTTAATAGTAATTTATAGAAAAAAAATTTAATTTGTTTATTAAACAGAATTTATTGAATAATTTAGAAACAAATATTTGCTGAATTATATATTTAGTGCTTTTGTATTAAATAAATTATTCAATTAATGTTTCTTATTAAAAAATTATTCAATAAATAAATACAAATTTAAATAGGGGAATGTAGTCAAGGTTGGCCTACTGTCTAGGTAGGCCACTCGCGTTTTTTTGTCAAGTTCACTAGCGCCACCTACGCGCATTTTTGTCGAAGCTTGTCTTAGTGAAACCTAACTTTTTGTTCAATTACATTTTCGGAAAATCTAAAATTGTGTTTTCTGTGACGTCGGTACAAAAAAAGCTCAAAAAAAGTTTTGTGCATAATGTGAAAAACCATTAATAAAAGATAAAAAACAAATTGAATCGTCAAGGCAAGTATGCAGAAAATTTGTGGGACTCATGGTTGAAAGGAAAACAAAGTAAAAAATCGAATCCCGAAACGTATTTCTTTATGGTTACAACAATTCGGTAATGTTACTTACTGTCAAGGTCGGCCACTATGTGTTTAAAATGCGCAAAGATGAGGACGAGCTACTTCATTTGCAAAAACTGCAATTCTGTATAACTCATAATATAATTGATCATCTTATTAATAGTTTCATTTAATTTTATTAATATTTTAGTGCAAAATTTTTTTTTATTTATATTTATTTTTTTATATTGTTTATTTTTATTATTTTGTTATTTCATTAAGTTACAAACTGTAAACAATAAAGAATCAATTTTCCGTAACTCCAAACATGTTATTTTATTTTTTAACGATTAATGCCCTTTGAATTTTAAACATGGCCGACCTTGACTGTAATGGCCAACCTGGACTACAAATTTTTTTTTTTTTAAATCTTTATAACTTTTTCATTTTTAAACCTGTCAATTTACTTTGTACAGAAAAAATGTTCCTATTAAACAGGACTTTCCAACCATATACTTCAATTGTCCAAATTTATTTTTAAAAAAAAGTTATAAACAAAAGTCAAAAAGGTGGCCGACCTAGACTATGTTCCCCTAAATATTCAATTAAATTAAAAAGTTTATTTAATAGAAAATATTTATTTAACAATTTATTTAAAAAGAAATATTTATTGAATAATTCATTTAAAAAATATAATTATTGAAAAATTTGTTTAACAATAAAAATTGGTGTAATTTTAAGAAATAAAATTTTTAAAACAAAAAAAATTATAAATAATTTATTTAAAAAATATATTTATTGAATATTTTAAGTAATACAAAATATTTATTAAAAAATTTTACTTTTTTCTTTAATTTTGACAATCTGCACTACTTTAAATTGGCTAATAATTGAAATAAAAAAAATTATTCTCAAAAATTTTAATAGAATTCTTAGAAACAACTGAAAAAATTTTAACAAAATTCTTTGATACGATTCAATTATTCTCAACTTTTTTTTGAAATTTAATTACTTTCAATATATACTATTTTAATAAAATCTTCCCAAAAGAATTTAATTATTTAAGGAAAATTGATAAAATTCTTCTCAGGCATTCAATTATTTTCCTAAAAAATAATATTTTCATAGGAATTCAATTATTTTCTTGAAAGTTTTCGATGAAACCAATTATTAAAAATTTTTCTTATAAAATACTTTACAAGAATTCAATTATTTTCACAAATAATAAAATTTTTCACGAGAATTCCATTATTTTCATAAATAATAAAAATCTTCTCGGGAATTCAATTATTTTTAAAATTTAAATAAAATTCGTTGCAAAAATTCAATTATTTTCACAAATAATAACATTTTTCACGAGAACTCAATTATTTTCATGAATAATTAAATTCTTCTCAGAAATTGAATTATTTTAAAAATTTTAATAAAATTTGTTGCAAAAATTCAATTATTTTCACAAATAATAACATTTTCCACAAGAATTCAATTATTTTCATGAATAATTAAATTCTTTTTAATAAAATTAATTTTTTCGTTGCAAAAATTCAATTATTTTTACAAATAATAACATTTTTTACAACAATCTAATTATTTTCATGAATAATTAAATTCTTCTCAGAAATTCAATTATTTTTTAAATTTTAATAAAATTCGTTGCAAAAATTCAATGATTTTCACAAATAGTAACATTTTTCACAAGAATTCAATTATTTTCATGAATAATTAAATTCTTCTCAGAAATTCAATTATTTTTTAAATTTTAATAAAATTCGTTGCAAAAATTCAATGATTTTAACAAATAGTAACATTTTTTACAAGAATTCAATTATTTTCATGAATAATTAAATTCTTCTCAGAAATTCAATTATTTTTAAAAATTTGAACGAATTTCTCGTCAAAAATTTAATTATCTTTATAAATAGTAAAATTTTTCGACAAAAATTCAATTATTTTCAACAATTTAAATAAAATTCTTTGCAAAATTTGAATTATTTAAAAAAATTTTTTTTAATCAATGATTTTCAATATTTACTTTTTTCATAAAATTTATAAAATAATTTAATTATTGAAAAAAAATGTTAATACAATTCTACCTAAACATTCAATTATTTTCATAAATAATAAAACTAATCGCAGGATTCAATTATTTTTAATACAGTTGTTTAAAAATTTTATTCAAATTCTTCGAAAGAATTCAATTATTTAAAAACATTTTTACAATAATCTTTATATGAATTCAATTTTAAGAAATATTTAATTATTCAATGAATTATTTATTTTTGTATTTGAATAATTGAAATCTTGAAGAACTTTATTATAAGAATTAATTTCAAAATTAATTTCAAAATTTCAACAAAAAAGTATTTATTTGAAATAAATTTTTATATTCTTATGAGTTTTATTTTTTACTTTTAAAAATTATTTTTGAATGTAATCGTATATCTGAAGGATTTTAAATTATATAAAAGTTAGAAAATAATAATTGAAGATTGTACACTGAAAAAATAAATATTTGATTCAAATATTATCAATTAAAATATTTTCTTGAATCAAATAATATTTATTTGAATCAATTAAATTGTATTTGCTTTAAATGCTATTTAATTGATAAATATAGTCAAGTAATTGGTTATTTGAATCAAATAAATTTTTTTTTCTATTTAAAAATTTATAGAATTGAAGTTATTAGCAGGATAAGAAAAAAAGTATGTAAATTTGATGAAAATTAGGAAAAAGTCAAGGAAATAAAATACAGAATCAAATTTTTATGATTTTTGTGAATCGACTAAAATGAGTTTTTTTTTATTATCAAGGTTAATTTTTCGATAGCTACATTTTTACTACTTCTTTTCAGTCCTAAAGCTACTTTTTGCTATTTTTAAGCTATAATTTATTATATTTATATTTTAAGATATAATGATCTAGTGCGAAGCCAGAATTTTATTAATAAATTATATATCAAGAATTAATTAATTGTAATGATAAGAAAGAAAAAAATTAAAAAACTACATTTCTTTTTATCACTCACCAGATATCGAAAGATCAGAATCCTGTCTATCGATAATACTTCGAGAGCTCTCCGATTGAGTTGATGTTTCTTCAATGGAATTTCTTTCTCTTGAAGCGTCCAATTTAGAGAAGATTTTTGAGACAATTAAACTCATTTCACGATTTGTATTTGCCTCATCGTATGACGATGGCGAAAGTTCTTTATTATTTGTTGAATTTCTAACAGTATTGTGATTTTGATTTTGTGATGTACTTCTACCAACTGATAACATACTGTTGAGAAAAATGTTCCGTTCATTTTGATTAATCAGAAATGGCGTGACAATACACGAGAGAATGAACAGAATAAAGACAATTGTATATTTCGCCACTTTCAATTTACTTTTTCGAGTCGATTGCGGCTGTTGCTGCTGTGGCATTCCACTCGTAGTAAATTGATCTGTCTGAGGAAGTATTGTATACTGAAGACTTGCATCTCCCTTGCGAACTGTTTTGTACATCTCGTTGCTTTTTAATCTGTAAAATAACAGGAAAGGAAAAATATTGAAAACATTTTTTTTTTTTAAGTATTTCTTTTTGGGGGCGAAAATTAAATGATTTTTTAGATTAATTAATTTTTTTGCTGCAAATAATAATGTGATTGAAAAAATTGAGTTATAATTGAAATTCTCTTTGATGTTTCTGTGCGTGGGTATTAAAATTTTTAAACTCATCGAATTAAATTGAAATCGAGTTAATTAATTAATTTCGGTAATTTCACGGTTGAATGGACATTTGGGAAATGAGTAAAATTTTCAATTATCGCAAACACTTGGATAATAAAAATAATAATAGTTATTATTATTATTTATAGTATTGATAATATTAATTATTGATATATTATTAATATTGTAGATAATATTAATAATAATAATTATTATTGTTTTAACCCCTTCGCAGTCTAGTTGAAAATCGCTTGTGGTCCAAAAACGGTCCGAAAAAAAAGTTTACAAAAAAATATGATTTCATCATATATAAGGTTTTTGGGGTCGCTGAATTCGAATTTGAGGTTAGTTTTTGAAAATTCAAAATGGCGGATCCAATATGGCGACCAAATATGGTGGATAATTTTAAAATTAAAGAGTTTTAAGGGAAATTCATTTCTCGGGGGTTTTCGAGGTCGCTGAATCCAAATCTGAAGTCAGATTTAAAAAATTCAAAATGGCGGACCCAAAATGGCGATTTCAAAAAAAAATTTTTTTTCAGATGTTCTTAAAACTCGTTACTCGGGGGTTTTCGGGGTCTCTGATTACAAATATGATGTCATATTTTCAAAATTCAAAATGGCGGATCCAATATGGCGGATGATTTCAAGATTGATGCGAAAAAAATATGAAGTTACCTCAAAAACCCCTGAGTAAACATTTTAGACAAATTTGTCAACATTCAAAAAATTTGATCGACATATTGAATCCACAATTTAGCATTTAGAAAAACGAACATCAAATTCGAATACAGTGACCCCAAAAAACCCCGGGAACCGAATTTCGATCGAAACGCATAAATTTTGAAACTATCCGCCATATTGGATCTAACATTTTGAATTTTGTAAAACGAACATCAAATTCAAATTCAGCGACCCCAAAAACCCCTGAGAAACGAATTTTAATCCAATCGCATCAATCTTGAAATTATCCGCCATATTGGATCCGCCATTTTGAATTTTGAAAATCTGACCTGATATTTGTAATCAGAGACCCCGAAAACCCCCCAAGTAACGAGTTTAAAGCGAATTTGAAATTTTTTTATTTTTTGAAGTCGACATTTTGAGTCCGCCATTTTGAATTTTTTAAATCTGACTTCAGATTCGGATTCAGCGACCCCAAAAACAGTAGTATGTACTTCGCTACTAAAATCAAATCATGTTTAGTATTTTTTTTTTGAGATGGCCATATATGGCCACAGACGCGAAGGTGGCACGACTTTTCGTGGCCATATATGGGCCATGGACTGTTAAGGGGTTAATGTCTTGTTCTATATAGAATTAAAAAATGTTTAACTAGAAAATTTCATATCATTTTTGCTCTAATTACTTCAAATTTTTATTAATTTTAATTTAGAAAAAAATTTTGTGATGCTATTTTTATTACTTTTATAATTTTGAATATGAAATAATTTAATTCTTGCATGGAATTTAATAAAATATTTTGAAAATATTTAAATTGATTGAAAGAATTTTATTACTTGACAATTTTAAAAAAAATTTAATAAGACAAATAAATTATCCATTCAAAATAGTTGAATTCTTGTGACGAATTTTATTATTTATGAAAATAATTGATTTCCTCTGGAAAATTGTATTTTTTTGAATATAAATAGAATTTTTGGGAAGAATTTTACTTCCATTTTCAAAAATAATTGGATTGTCTCGAAGAATTTTTTTCAATTTTTTAAAAATATTTAACTTCCTGCAAAGATTTTTATTATTTATAAAAATAATTGATTTCCCGTGGAAAAGTTTATTATTTTTGAAAATAATTGAATTATTGCGAAGGATTATATTAAAATTTTTGACAATATTAAATTGTTTCGAAGATTTTTATAAAATTTTTTTAAAATAATTGAATTTCTGCGAAGAATTTTATTATTTATGAAAATAATTTATTTCCTGTTGAAAAAGTTTATTATTTTTTAATGTAATTGAACTGTTGCTAAGAATTTTATAATTTTCGAAAATAATTGAATATTATTTCGAAGATTATTGTATATTTTTCACGAGAATTTAATTATTTTCATGAATAATAAAATTCTACTCGGGAATTTAATTATTTCTGAAATTTTAATAAAATTTCTTGCAAAAATTCAATTATATTCACAAACTATAACATTCTTCACTAAAATTCAATTATTTTCCTGAATAATTAAATTCTTTTAAGAAATTAAATTATTTTTAAAATTTTAATAAAATTTGTTGCAAAAATTCAATTATTTTCACAAATAATATCATTTTTCACGAGAATTCAATTATTTTCATGAATAATAAAACTCTTCTCAGAAATTTAATTATTTTTAAAAGTTTAATAAAATTCGTTGCAAAATCTGTTGATAAAGTTTATTATTTTTTAAAATGATTGAGCTGTTGCTAAGAATTTTATAAAAATTTTTGAAAATTATTGGATTCTTTCAAGGAATTATTATTTTAAATTGTTTTGAAAATAATTGAATTGTTGTGAAGAATTTTATTAAAATTTTCGTAAATCATTGAATTGTTTTGAAGATTTTTATTAAATTTTTGAAAATAGTTGAATTTTTTTGAAGAATTACTTATAAAAATAATTGCATTTTTATGAAGAATTTTATCAAAATTTTAGTAAATAATTGAATTTTTTGAAGGTATTTTTTTAAATTGTATTGAAAATAATTGAATCATTGCGAAAAATTCAATTAAAATTTTCGAAAATAATTTAATTGTGTCGAATATTTTTATTAAATTTTTTTTATAAATACTTGAATTCCTTTAAGGAGTTAATTATTAAAAATAATTAATTCGTATGAAGAATTTTATAAAAATTTTTTAAATTAATTGAATTCTTCAAAAAAGTTTTTAAAATTGTACTAAAAATAATTGAACTCCTGTGAACAAATTTATTAGTTGTGAAAATATTTAAATTGTTTTTTGAAAAATAATATTTAATTAGTTAATTAGTTAGTAAGTGAATTTTTTTAAATTTTGTTTCTGAAATTATTGAAAAATAAAAGTTCGTAATTAAATAAAATAAAAACTTTTGCAATCTGAATAATAATATGAATTAAATTCCTCGTTTCGTGCACGCAATATTTGCTAATAATTATTTTATTATTTTAATAAATAATTATTCATTATTTTCATAAAAACAATAATAATAATAATAATAATAATAATAATAATAATAATAATAATAATAATAATAATAATAATAATAATAATAATAATAATAAATTTTCTGATTTGTGATTATTTTAATAAGTCAGAGTTTACAAATTATCTTTCTTTTGAGAATAATATTCGTGATATTGAAATTTATAGGTATATATAGTCGCAAAAGCTAAAAGACGTTTTCTAAGCCCTCAATAACTGCTGAGGAAGTTCTTCAATCTTCAAACTGCTTTAAAAAGTAAAAACTCGTAGAATAAGAGTTTCAAGAAACTTAAGTAAATGTAAAAGACACGACCCGCACTTTGCCAACGATTTGCCCCCTTCCTATCGACAGATGGAAATTTTTTTCGAGTTTTTTATGTTTTCAAGAATCTCATTCAAGTTTTGAAAAGAAGGAGAGAAGAAAAAAATATTCCGATAAAATTAGGAGGGAAAAAAAAGAAGGTCATTTTCTATTTGAGTTTTCAGTCACTCACTCACTCACTCTCTCTCCCTCTATCTGATGTATATGTATAGGAGAGTCATCTTTCTTTAATCTTTCTTGTCATAAAAAGAGCGTTTGCACTTTTTTTTCCGAATATTGAGGTATCACGGATTACGAACTGGTATTTTTAGACTTTTAAAGAGTCGTTCAAGAGATGACGAAAAATGATTTGCTCTTTTTCTTTTTATGGTTCTTTTTTGTGAATCGTAAACTCAATTTTGATGCACTTTTTTCTTTTTATATACTGACAGCTAATTTATAGATACACTTTTTCTTTTATTATTAGGTATAAAATACATTATATTTTATGCTTATAACATTACTGCAAACAGTAAAATATTTTAAAGTAAGTAATAATTATTGAATTTTTAAAGAAACGAAAATAAATAAAGGAGTTTTTTTCAACTTTTTTTGTTTGTTCTTAAAGTTGTAAAGTGAGAGAAAAATATTAATAGAAGAACAAAAGTTGCTCTTAACAGAAATGAAGAAGTTATAATGAAGTAAACAAGTAAGAAGGAAAATAAGAGAAGCAAAGTTATAAGTAAAAATATAAAATATTTGTTTTAGTTACAGTTTTTAGTTTCTGTGTCACGTTTGTTTTTGTATATTTTTTTATTGTAAATTACTTTTGTAGTCTTCTTGTTATTATTTTGTTGCAGCTTTATTTTTTTGTCTTTTTTGACAATATTTATTTACATTTAAATTTATAAGGTTTATTTACACTGTTGATTTTTTTTGATAATTAAATGCCGAAAAAATAATAACAACAACCACAACAGAAAAAAGTAACAAAAAATAATAAACAAGTTTAGAAAAATATTAAACAAAGAACAAAATTACATCAAAAGTAATAATAACTGAAATTAAAAACAAAAGTAACATTATAGCAACAAAATTAACATTATAAAAACAAAAATAACATTACATCAACAAAATTAATACTATAACAACAGAAATAAAATGATATTGCAAAAATAATTATATTATAACAACAATAGTAACATTAGAACAACAAAAATAACATTAAAGCATGGAAAGTAACATTAAGACAATAAACATAAAATTATAGCAACCAAAGTAAAATTATAACAACAAAAATAACATTATAATAACGAAATTAACATTATGACAACAAAAATAAATTAAAGCAACGAAAATAACATTATAACAACAAAAATAACATGACAGCAACAAAATTAATATAATAACAACAGAAATAAAATGATATGGCAAAATAACTGTGATGTAATAAGCAAAGTAACATTATAACAACAAAAATAAAATTATAGCAACCAAAGTAAAATTATAACAACACAAAAATAAAATTATAGCAACCAAAGTAAAATAATAAAAACAAAAATAAATTATAGCAACCAAAGTAAAGTTATTACAACAAAAATAACATTACAGTAATGAAATTAACATTATAACATCAAAAATTAAATTATAGCAACAAAATTGACATTATAACAACAAAAATAAAATTATAACAACAAAAATAAATTATAGCAACCAAAGTAAAATTATAACAACAAAAGTAACATTATAACAACAAAAATAACATTACAGTAATGAAATTAACATTATAACATCAAAAATTAAATTATAGCAACAAAATTGACATTATAACAACAAAAATAAAATTATAACAACAAAAATAACATTACAGCAACAAAATTAATATTATAACAACATAAATAAAATGATATGGCAAAATAACTGTATTATAACAACTAAAGTAACATTATGACAACAAAAATAAAATTATAACCACACTAAAATAAAATTATAGCAACCAAAGTAAAATTATAACAACAAAAGTAACATTATAACAACAAAAATAACATTTTAATAACAAAAATAACATTACAGTAATGAAATTAACATTATAACATCAAAAATTAAATTATAGCAACAAAATTAACATTATAAGAAGAAAAATAAAATTACTGCAACCAATGAAAAATTATAACAACTAAAGTAACATTATAGCAACAAAATAACGACGGAAGTAACACAATAGCAACAAAAGTAACAGTACAACAACAGAAATAACATTATATAGCAACAAAATTAACATTATAATAATTGAAGTAACATTAGAATAAAAAAAACATCAGATAAAAAAAACCCAAAAAAAAATTCATAAATGTACATAAAACATTTTATAAAATTGGCCAAACAATAATTTTTCCATTTCGTTTCATCGAGAGAGAATTTTCATTAAAAGAAAATTTTTTTTTAAATGCCTTAAAGCCATAAAAAATGTGCTCAATTAGGGAAATTGTTGGAATTTAGGTATGAATAATAAAAGAATTTTAAACGTGGAAAATATTCACACGCACACACACACACAGAGAGATGTAAGAATTCATTTTGAGTTATTTTTTTTCTTTTGTTTTTTAAAAACGGCAGGAAAAAAAAGATTGACATAGACTTTAATTAACGAATTCACGCCGTGTAATTTTGAGAGACTCCTTTTCATCGTATAGCCACTGTGTGAGGCGGAAGGCAACGCTGAACGTAAAACCCAAGTTGGTTTTGAAACCACCCTTCTGAATGAGTGTGCAAAAGAGGAGAGGAAAAAACAACTCTTCACACTCAAACAGGAAAAAAAAAAGTTGGTTGGATAGTTACACAAGTACCTCCTCTTGCACTTCATCTCTTTTTTTTTACTCTTACTTTTATTGCACTTCTCAAGTTCAATTCATACGAAAAACTGTGAGGCACGTAACGAAAAATTTTATTAGTTCTTTAAAAGAGTGATTTTCTTTTTTTTTAATACACGTTTATAAATAGTGGAAATTTTTCTTCAAATAACAGTCGTTTTTTTTTATGAATTTGATGAGAATTTTTGAGGAGTAATGGTTATTTTTGTTTGCTTCGAAGTTAATGTTTGTTGATATTGGAAAATTGCAATATTACATTTTATGGAAGTTTTTTTAACAATGTTACAAATTTTTTGTGTTACAAATTATTGTTTTGCAAGTTATTGTTTTAAAAAATAATTTTTAAACAAATTATTATTATACTACAAATATTTGCATTAGAATAATTTGAAATACAATAATTTCTAATAAAATAATTTGTAGTACAATAACTTCTAAGACAATAATTTGTAATGCAATAATTGTTAATTGTTAATTTTTTTTATTTGTTAATTTAATTGTTATTAAAATAATTTTAATTACAATAGTTGTATTACAATAGTTGTATTACAATAATTTGTATTAAAATAATCAACAATCACATTATTGTAATACAAATTATTGTACTACAAATATTTGTAATAAAATAATTTGTTATACAATAATTTGTAATACAATAATTTTTATTGAAATAATTTAATCATTAATTATTGAATACAAATTATTTTGATACAAAATTATTGTTGCAGAAATTACTGTAATGCAAGTTAATGCATTACAAATTATTGTATTATAAATGTTAATTATAAAGCAATAATTGTGACAATTACAATAACAATTTAAATTATATTAACAATATAAAAATGTTTTAAAAATCATCTTAAAGTCAAAAAACTACAATAAATATTATTGTTCAATTTGTGTTGTTAATTTTTGCATTACGTTAAAAGTACATTAATGTTAACAATATTTTTGTAATATTAAAGAAATATTATATTATTCTTATTATTATTAACATTTTTATTCTTCTTATTTATATTAATATTGAAAATTAGTTTTAAAAAATTAAATAAGTTAAACATAAAAATAATTTTGATTATGAATTTTATATAAAAATAATAATAATAAAAACAAACACATTAGTCAATATAATAATAATAACAATAGTAACAATAGTAATAATAGTAATAACAATAGTAATAATAGTAAAAACAATTGTAATAATAGGAAAATAATAATAGTAGTAATAATAGCAAAAATAATAGTAACAATAATAATAGTAATAAAAATAACAACAATAGTAATTATAATAATTATTATTATTATAATGAAAGGGATGATAATTATCAATTACTGAAATTGTAATTTTAGTCATCTAATCTGTATTATGATTCCTATTGTCATTGCATATTGAAACATTAATTTACATACAGTTAAACATTAATAAGTAAAAAAATATATAAAAGGAAAATCCACCTCACAAAAATGAATATTCAAAATTAAAATTCACCCAACGAAAGTAATTATTAAATAATAAAAATCAAAATGCAATCGCGTTGAAAGCTTAGGTATTATTCTCCCAAGAGAGAAACTTTAGAATCGATTTTTCAAAGAGACGTCTCTTCGATTATTTTAATTTTATGGTTTTTTTTAAATATAAATTTAATTTTCCCCATTAAGTAATTAATTTTTTGTCAAAAATAAAAAAAAATTGTATATTTAATTTTTTTCAAAGTAAAAACAATAATGTTGTGCACTGAATGTACGTTTGACATGACGATTTCTGGTTGGTAGAAGAAAATTCTGTTCTATTCTCTTTTTTTTTAAAATTATTATTCCCACCTATGTCTTATTGATCGTAGTTGGATTAATTTGACATTAATAGAAGATTTCAAGTACTTACTGTGTGGTTGTGTATTTGTGTGTGACAATTTTTGAGAATGATGATAATAATTTTGTATATAATTCTTATTATTTTTTTTCCTTTATTGTTTCCTCTTCCGGGCAAGCTGTACCGGAGCAATAATCCGGGACAAGTAAAACCTAAAGGGTTTCCTTAGAAAAACGCGCAGTTGCGTGCTAAGGGGTGAAATTCATTTCGCATGCGCACCCCAATTTCCCTTTAGGAATATGAGTATGAACTCATTTTCAAATGTTTTTTTTTCTTCACTTAAAACTTAATTATTAAAAATAGAAATGAGTGATAATTACAATTTCGATTTTCTACTTTTAGAAAAAAATATTTTTTTTAATAAGTTGAGATTTTTTTAGTGTTTCGCAAATTAGAAAATTTTTCTTTTTAAATACGTTTTGTGAGAAATTATAAATGAATTTTTGTTCTTAATAAATTTAGTAAGAAATTAAAAAATAGAAATTTTATTTCTCAACAAGTTTATTAAGAAATTATAAATTAATATTTGTTTCTTAATTAATTTTGTAAAAAAATTAATAATTCTTTTTCTCAACGAATTTAGTAAGAAATTATTTATTTATTTTAATTCAAAAGGTCATAATAATACAAATTATAAATTAATTTTCTTTTCTTAATAACTTTAGTAAGAACTTAGAAATTAATTTTCTTCTCTTTTCTTTGTAAGTTCAGTGAGAAAATGTAAATTAATAATTTTTTCTCCTAACAAGTTTTGTAGGAAAATTATAATTTAATATTTGTTTCTTAATAAATTTAGTAAGAAATGAAAAACTAATTTTTTTTCTCAATAGAAATATTATAAATGAATTTTATTTTCTTAATGAGTTTAGTAAGAAGTAATTAATTTTAAAAACTGAAAATTCATAATTAAATCTTTTAAAAAATTATTATTGTTTATTTTTTCTTTATACATACAATATTATCTTACAATTTTTCTTTTAAACAATTATCTTCTTTTTTTTTGTGTTTATCAAAATTATTTGATATTCTCTTTTTTGAATTTCTTAAAGTAATTTAGAATATTTTCGATTATTTTATTTTCACGTATTTCTTATGTTTATTAAAAATATTAAATATCTATTTATAAAAAATGTAACTCAGCCTTTTAAATTGTATCATTTTTTTAACACACTTTGTATTTTTTTAATTCTCTTTAAATCTTTGTACTGCGGTCTAACATTTAACAAGAGTATACTGAAGGAATTTTTGAGTCAAATATTGAAATATTTGGCAATTTTGTATTTAATTTTATAAAACAATTTTTTATTAACAAAAAATAAAAATAGTGCATTTTTGTTAATAAAAAATTTTATTTACAAAAAATATCGTTTTGTTAATGTAAAATTTTATTAACCAAAAAAATAACTTTTTGTCAATAAAAAATTTTATTAATAGAAACTAATGTCAGAAATTGTAATTTATTTGGAAATAAATTAATAAGATTAGAAAGTAGTGTCTCTTTTTCTCAGTTCTTCTACTTTCATTAAAATTAGTATTAGAATTATTTAATCAACTAGAAAATAATTACTTTTTGCTTTCTAAAATTATTAATTTCTTTATATATCCAAATAAACTTTCAATTAATATAATTATTAATTATAATATAATTAAAAATTAATTTTAATTGTCAAATTTTTCATTATTTGATTCAAACGAATTATTTCATTGCAGAGATAATTTTTGGACTAAAGTAAAAATACTCGGTAACAGTTATAAATAGTGGAAGACATTGCATGATACGGAGACGTTTTCATGAAAGAAAAAAATGCTTAATCTCCTTTTGTCTTTCTAACAGAATTTGTGAATATAAAACTTTCATAACTTTTTGATGTGAATATACCTGAGGGCGTAAATAGCTGTCGTAATGTATATGTTTCTTCTTAGATTTCTTACAAATCTATATTTTTAGCAGCTCTAGTTTTCTTTCTCCTCGTTGATAGAATCAATAATTTTTTTTTGAGTAAAAAATATAGGAAAAGTGCAAAAAAGTTTTTAAAAAATAAAGAAAGTAAATACTTCTTTTTGTAATTTATTTTTTTAATCTGATTTCAATTTAGTAAAAATTAAATAATTTATTTGCAATGTTAAAAATTAAATACTTATTAAATTATTTATGTTGAAAGAAAGTAGAAAAATAAGATAAAAAATTATACTAAAAGATATTTTGATTTATATAAATCTAAATAAAATAAATTTTTAGTAAAAGTTAATTAGTAAAAATTTTTAGGAGACATAAAAATTGCATTTGGCGCTTTTCTTACATTTTTCTGAAAATTATTGCCTTCTTTGAACAAAAAACGTTAAATTATGCTTATGATTGTAATACTAAGTTCGTTTTTTTTTGAGCTGTTAAAAGTAGCGTATTTCGAAAAAAAGAAACTGTTCGACATTCTCTTAATTAAAATTACTATTGCATTGTGGGCATTGCAGTTGATGATGTAATATCAGTAGCATCTCCACTTCTCCATAATTGTGTGACAGTTTTCGTCTGCGTATGGAAATTAACTCCCTAAAAAATAGAAAACAAAAATTTGAGAGAAAAATTTATTAAAAATTGCTAAACAGAAAAAAAATTTCTATTCTTTCTCGTTCTTTAACAACATTTTTTAAAAAATTTCTATTCTAAGAGAAAATGAAAAAAATCCTTACGTATTTTCCGTAGAAATGATTGTCACCAAGGAAAGAACCTTTATTTCCAGTGAAACTGAACATAGGCAATGGCACGGGAATGGGAACATTAACACCTACTTGACCTGCTTCAATTCTATTAACGTAAGATCTCGCCGTGGCTCCATTAGTCGTGAAAATTGCCGTTCCATTTCCATATTTACTATTATTAATGATATTAATTGCCTCGTCTAAAGTGTCCGCGTTTATGCACACCAAAACTGGTCCGAATATTTCCTCCGTGTAGCAACGCATCGACGTCTGAAAGTATTGAAAATTTCTCCTCGAGAGTCAGTATGGAAAATATCGACAAAAATGATGCATCTTTTTATTTTTGTTAAAGTTAAAATGTAATAAGGAAAAAAGTTTACCTTAACATTCGTGAGAACGGTGGGACCGACGAAATTTCCTTTCTCAAAGCCGGACACGACGATATTTCTTCCGTCGAGTGGAAGACCAGCGCCGTCCTTAACACCCGATTCAACGAGTTCGCAAATTCTCTTCTTTGATTGGGGCGAAATTACGGGACCAAGATCAGCTCCCGGAATGTGTCCGGCGTTTACTTTTAGTCTTTTTGCAGCCTCGACGAGTTCTGGTATCCAGTCTTGTGATTTGCCTACGAAAACTGCAACTGATAGTGCCATGCAACGTTGTCCGGCAGCTCCGAATGCAGCACCAGCGATTTGTGAAATTGTTTTGTTTTTGTTGGCGTCCGGCATCACTACGCAGTGATTTTTTGCTCCCATGTTGCATTGGACTCGTTTTCCGTGAGCGCTCGCTTGTTTGTAGATGTACTCCCCCTGAAAGTGGAAAAAAAGTTGGGTATTCGATTGTTGAATAAATATTGGTGTTGGATTTTAGGGAAGAGATTGTTGGCTCGCAGTGGGTACTGGGACTTTAAGTGTCTTTATGATCTCTATCGGGGATTATTAGGAGAGTTATGTTCTTTTGAAGGACTTTCTAAAAAGAATTTGGGTCCAAAAGACGTCTTCAGGACATACCTTTAGTATAAAGTTTTTAGACATAGTTTACAAGAATGCGGGGCCCCATGTGTCAACAGTAGTATCACCTCATCACCAATCTCTGTACTCTATCAGCGTTTCATTGTAATATAGATTTTTTAGGGATGCCCTAAGAACGGTTTAAACACATATTGGGACCAAGAAACGATTTTATGGCATAAGGTGTCTTTAGGACATTTTTCGAATGGAGATAAACGTCCTATGTGTGAAAAATAAAGAGTAGAACTCATGTCAAAGGTCGAAGACGAAGTGTGCTCGTCGTTCAGAAGCCCGGTCTTTATATCCTCGCTCGGAGAAGTAGAGGGGGCATTCTGAGTCGAACGGTAGGGGAACCATAGAACGCGCGACGTTTTATAGAGGGAGAGGTCGAGTCTCGTCGGAAGTCGGCGACGAAGTGCCTCTGCCGCTCAGGAGTCCGGCTTTTATATCCGCGCACGAAAAAGTGGAAGGGGTACCGTACAGTGGGGGAATCCTAGAACGCGCTACTTCTCGGAGTGGGGAAGCCTAGACACGCTTTATCCTCCGTGTTATCACAGGCAATACTTCTATGCAGTTGTACTCACTGTGTCTAATTACCGAGACGCGAAAATTTCACTACCCAAGGAGCACGTAAGTTTATCTTGACAACACTGTAATATTACATTGGAGATTCGTTATATTACACTGTAATATTACAGTGATCTTACTGGGATATCAAAATGTCCGCCTGGAGGTAATATTACGTTGTTACATCAAGAGAATATTACCTGGTAATATTAAGGTAATATTACACTGTAATATTAACGTAATGTTAAGGTAATATTCAGATAAAATTAGAATAATTTTATAATTTAGAAAAAAACATTTCACAAAGTTGGACTCGAACCCAGAACCATGTGCATAGTAATCATGAGTCTTACCACTGAGCCAAACTTACTTGTAGTGTATTAAGATTCTCGACGGTATATAATCTTTGTAAGTTTTTTAAAGTTCTTCATATTTTATCAAAAATCTTAATACACTACAAGTAAGTTTGGCTCAGTGGTAAGACTCTTGATTACTGTGCGCAAGGTTCAGGGTTCAAGTCCAGCTTTGTGAAATGTTTTTTTCTAAATTATAAAATTATTCTAATTTTATCTGAATATTACCTTAACATTACGTTAATATTACCTTAATATTACCAGGTAATATTCTCTTGATATAACAACGTAATATTACCTCCAGGCGGACATTTTGATATCCCAGTAAGATCACTGTAATATTACAGTGTAATATAACGAATCTCCAATGTAATATTACAGTGATGTCAAGATAAGCTTACGTGCTCCTTGGGTAACTATACAAAGGTACCCGTGTAGAAATTGTCATATTTTGGCCATGAAACACCTTCCCAGATCGGGGTCAGACTTGGCCTCGATCTGAAAAGGTGTTTCATGCCAATAATAGGGACGCCAGATCTAGCCCCGATTTGGATTCGAACAGTAAATTAATTTGCAAACTCACGGCCTGATCGGAGCCAACGAAGGAGACAGCTTTGATGTCCGGATGTTGACAAATAAAATCAACGGACTGATGTTGTCCGTGAATGATATTTAAAAGTCCCGGAGGAGCTCCGGCTTTATTGAAGAGATCGGCCAATATCATTGACGCTCCTGGTACTCTTTCGGATGGTTTTAAAATTGCAGCATTCCCACAGGCAATTGTGATTGGAAATGACCATAGTGGAATCATTGCTGGAAAATTGAATGGACAAATTGACGCTGTCACGCCCAGTGGAACTTTATGAGAAATTGTATCCATGTCTGTGGCGATATTTTGCATAGATTCTCCCAAAAGGAGGGACGGAATTGCCGTGCATGCATCAACAACCTCTGAAAAGAAAAGAAGGGTAAGTATTTTTAAAAATGGGTTTTTAATGCAACTACTTTGGTTCTAATCGGTGTTTCATTGGAACGCCTCGCCACCAAAGTGGTTAATAATATTAAGGAATCAACTACTTCGGTTTTAATTGGCTTTCCATTGGAACACCTTGCTACCAAAGTGGTTAATTATTGAATTAACTTAACTTAAAAATTAATTTAACTACATGGGTTCTAATTCACGTTCCATTGGAACGCCTCGTTTCTACATAGTTGGTGGTACCAGCTGAATTAAGATTTAATTCAATTATTAAATTAAGAACTAATTTGATTACTTACGGAGGCCCCTTAAAACATCTCCCTCAGCGTCAGCCATTGTTTTTCCATTTTCCCTGACTAAATTTGCAGCAATTTCTTTCTATAAAAGGAAAGACGGTTAGATTTTCTCCTTATTGTAGATGAGAGAGAGTTTTAGGTGAAAATTATTTGTTCGTTTATTTGTGACAAAAGGGAATAGTTTAAAATTGCATTTGAAGCTAACCGAATGCTCACGAATTAGTGCTTGATACTTGAGCATTAAAGTTTGCCTCGTTAAAACACTGGTATTCTTCCATTTGTGATAGGCACTTTTTGCACTTGCAACCGCACTTTCCATTTCTTCCTTTGTGCATTTTGGTGTTCGGGAAATTAATTCATTTGTTGCTGGATCGTGAACATCCGTAAACTCCGTACTCTTTGAATCTGAAAATTTTTCACAAACATATTTAGAATTATTTTTACCTTCTGACAATATAAATAATTCAGAATAATAAATACATTCCTTCCTCTATGAAAAAGCAATATAATAAATATTAATAATTTAGAAAGTATTATTTATTTTTAAATTACTTTTGGGAAAAATAATTGAGTTTTCAAAAATTTAAACAGACGTACCAACAAACTGTCCATCGATGAACATTTTTACAGCCGGAGCTGAAGATCCATAGGCTCTGGCTGACATTCTTGTCTGCGAAAATAATTCAATTAAATAAATAATACAGTCATCTCTCGATAATTTAATTTTTAGGTTAGTTAAAATGGATTTTGTGTCTCTAGAAAAAATTATAGTGCTTAAAAATATTTGACAAATAAAACCTTTGATAACACAGACACATTTTAGATTTTTTGATAACGATTTCGTATTTAGAGTCAGAATTGCAAAATTCAAAATGGCGGAGTCAATATGGCGGACGAATTTTTAGAAACTTAACGGATTCGCTTAATATTTATTACTCAGGGGTTTTTGGGGTCGCTGATTACGAATCTGATATCAGATTTTCAAAATTCAAAAAAGGGGAAGTAGTATCTCGACTAAAATGTTTAGAAATTGACTTGGCCGATCCGCATAAAGATTTTTTTAAGTTTCAACAGTTTTTTTAAAGGGGAGAGTCGACTGTATTAATAAATTAATCAGTAAATAAAATAAAATTGATTCGGGATAAAATTAATTTACAGAAAAGTTAATTTACAGTAAAATTAATTGGTAATAAATTAATTTACAGTAAATTGATTGACAGTTGTAAAGTTAATTTGCAGTAAAATTAATTTAAAAGTTAATTTACAGTAAAATTTATTATTTATTTATTTATTTACAAAAACAGAATAATATTATTATTATTCAGTTAATTAATTTCATTTTAAGAAAAAAGAACCCTTTACTTGTAATAATTGTCCATTTCTTAGAAACCGAACACTTTTCATTTTGGTACACTGCAAATACTTAAAAAGAAAATTCGCTTTCTATTTGTACTGTTTGAATAACACACTAGATTTGAGATATTATTTCTCATTCACAGTTATTTTTGCACTGACAACCGTGCTTATAATCAAAAGCCATCGAACCAGTTTGTTTGTTCTCTAAACTGATGTTACGCAAAAAGAAAAATTTCCTCTTAACTAGCAATGATAAAATTCCACAACAAATATTCGGACAATTATTTAAATTACGTCAATAAATATTTACATATATTTATTTATTTATGCAATTTAAATAATTTTACGTTTTTATTTCATGTTTTTCGATTTTCATTGGAAAATATCGATTACTCCAATAATCAAATTACACAATTTGTATTATTACATTATATTACGAGCGTAGATGATTTTTTTTCTTTCGTATAATATGTCTTATTGTGCTATCGAATGGTTTTTCTCGAAAGCTAATAATAATTATTATACAGATGATTTATCATTATGTTGCTTAACGAAAATATATTTTTACAGTACATCCGGAGGCGATAAGAAATTGCAACATTTAAAATAAAATTAAGTAGAGGGTTTGTTTTTCTTTTAAACATTTCGTTTGGAAAAAAATAAAATATTAAACAGTATAGAGAGAATTTTTCAGAAAGTTATAAATTACCATATCGTCAAGAAGGAGTTATAAATATAAAAAGAATTTTTAAAATGTAGGTCAGAGATGACTTAAAAAAAACATTGTCGAATATGTAACACTTTTATAGGTTTCGCGAAAAATAAATTTTCAATTCAAAATGAAAAAGAAAAAAATTTAAATTTACATTAAATTACAAGTTACGAAAATAGTAAATATTTTCAATGATATTTTTTTCGAGAAAGTGAATTATTCTGGAAAGAAAAAGAAAAAAAAGGACAAAAAATAAATATTTTAAAAAATGATGAATGATAATTGCATTTGTAATTACTTCATAGCAGTGTAATAAATATTTATTACTGTTTTTTGAACAAATATTTATTCGATTTGCATAATTTGTTACAAAAATTAAAAAAAAATAAAATTAATCTGAATAATTCAACTTTTATTAGAAAATAAAATAAGATTTAGTTATTAATATTAGAAATTTTAATTCCTAATTATAATTATTTTCGAAAATTATTAGCGTAATAATTACAATTTTCTTCTTGAATTTACCTTATAAAAATAGTTTCAAAATTAAAAAAAAAAATATTTCAAATACAAAAAGTGATTTTTAAACAAGTTCAAAAATATGTTAATTTGCAAAATATTTTTTTTCACATAAAGAACAATTAATATTCTCAAATATTAATTATACTTAATGAAAATTAAAATTAACTAAAATTAATTAATAAATTACTTAATTGAAGTATTAATAATTTGTAATTTGTATTAACAAAGAAAGAAAGAATTCTTCTAAGGATTTAATTCTGTTTTTAGTATTTTTATTTAAAAAAAATTAAGCACTGATATTTGATTGAAATTGAAAGTGACGATTATAATCTACTCAGAGATTGTAAGAGATGCAAATACTTTAATAGCGATTAATCAAATTTTAAACCCACGGCCTTGAATTACAATCATATGAATAAAAATATCTTGTAAATTAACATATTTTTGAATTTGTTTAACAATTTCTTTTTGTTTGCAACCTTTTTTAAAAATTAACTTCAAGAAGCAAAATATAATTATTACCAACTATTGTCAGCTTTTATTACAATTGGGAAATTAATAAATTAAATCTTATTTCAATTTACAAATTTTTATATAATATTAATGTTAATAATATGTTAATAATGTTTAACAATATTTATATAAATAAATAAATTCAGTGAAGTTTAATATTAAAACTGAGTAAAAATAAATTTGATTAACAATTTTAAAAGAGAATTTGAATTAAAGTAGGTAACGAAATTTATGTTTTATTTTTAAAAAATTATTTTTTACATTTAGAAATTGATTTTAATTTTAAACAATGTATTTTTGATTGCAAAAATTTATTTTTGTATGTAAAAATTTGTTTGTTATTGTAAAAATTTGGTTATAAATGTAAAAGTTTATTCTCACATGTAAAACTTTATTTTTTACTTTAATTAATTTATTATTTACTTTTAAAAATAAATTTTTTACTTTTAGGAATTTATTTTTACTCTAAAATATTTATTTTTCATTGTTTAAATTTATTTCTGATTGCAAAAATTTATTTCTATATGTAAAAGTTTATTTTTGAATGTAAAAATTTATTTTTTACTTCTACAATATATTATTTGCTTTTAAAAATTAATTTTTCACTTTCAGAAATTTATTTTTGCATTAAAAGATTCATTTTTGATTGTAGAAATTTATTTCTGTGTGTAAAAATTTGATAACTATTGTAAAAATTTGTTTCTGAGTGTAAAAGTTTATTTTTACATGTAGAAATTAATTTTCTACTTTTACAAATTTATTATTTACTTTTAAAAATTAATTTTTTACTTTTACAAATTTATTTTTACTTAAAAAAATTTATTTTTTATTGTCTAAATTTATTTCTGATTGTAAAAATTTATTTCTATATGTAAAAATTTATTTCTGAATGTAAAAATTTGTTTCTGAATGAAAAAGTTTAATTTTGCATGTAAAAATTTATTTTTTACTTCTAAAAATTTATTTACATTTAAAAATTAATTTTCTAATTTTATAAACTTGTGTTTGCAGTAAAAAAATTTATTTTTTATCGTTTAAATTTATTTCCGAGTGTAAAAATTTATTTTTCAACTTAAAAAATTAATTTTTAACTGGAAAAATTGTTTTCAAATTTAAAAACTTATTTTTAAATGCAAAAAAAATTGCTTTAAAGGTAAAAAATAAATTTCCAGCTCCACAAGAATGAAATAATATTTATTATTCTATTAGAGTATCGATCCTTTCAAACTGAGGGAATATTTATACAACAATTAAATAAAAATCAATGTGAAAAGTGTTAAATATTCTTGACAATATTGAACGCACCTCTAATTGGGCAATTTTGATTAAAAGCGCCATATTTTTTTTTTTTTTTTGAACCTCCTTAGTTTAACTTTTGATGAGACAACACTGACTGACACACTGAGGGGATTCAAAAAACAAGACCACTTCCAGTTGACATGTCTGGGTTGTGCCTGATGTTTTCAGACCGATAGATACCTGGGTCTCAGGGACGACGATGAAAATTCCATTCTCCTATAGCAGGCAATAAAAAAAATTAAAAGTTCATAAAAATTAACTATTTTTGTTTACATAATATAATTTTCCAGTATTTTTTTTTAACGAAAATTATTTACTGGAAAAAATTTGTATGAAAAAAAGATATATAATAGTTATATTTTATTGAATTTGTTTTAATTATAGTTAATCGAAATTAATTAGTTAATATAATAATAAATTTAATTTACAATAATTTATTAGATTGTAAATTGAAGATTTAATGATGAATGAAGCTATAATTGTGATTAGGAATAATATTTTCAGTTATATCTGTAATTCTTATCACTAACTTCTCTGGCAATAAAAAAGTGTATTAATAATTAGGAGCATATAATTATGTTATTTGCTAATTATGAAGATTGCATTGTTTATGATATAAAGTATAATATATGTATAATTGGAGAAAAATTGTTTCAAAGACATTTTTTTTATCAAATTTTCGTTTTCGTATTAGTAGTTCGAATAAAATTTATGTAAAATAATTTTTTTGAACAAAAATTATTTCAATTCATTGTAAAATAAATTGACAAAATAACAAATAATACGTTTATTGAAATTTATATTGTTTTACGTAAAAAATAGAAACGAATGCACAAAACAATAAAAATTATAGTCAATTTTAATATTAATTAATATATATTAATTTATATTAATTAATAAATGTTTATTTAATAAAAAAATCGACGTAGAAAAGGAAATTTTGGAGAGAAAAATATATACGATTTGGAGAAAAGAAACTTTTAGATAATAAAAAATTACGAACGAACGCTATTTCCATTACAAATTTCTGTTTCGCAATTCATTTGGGGTTAAATAGATGCTCAACCTAATGCAAAATAGTCTTTTGGCGTTGATTAAAAAGATCAAGTATTTATTTAATCGCCTAAAGATTCGATCTAATGAATATTTTAATATAAAAATTGGCGCCACTTTCTTAGTTATCCGGAGAGAGAATAAGTTTCCTTGCAATTGCAGCCAATGTACGACAGATGCCGACACCGATTCGTTTTCCAAATTAATAATTTTTATTTTAAAAAAAGAACTTTAAAACTTTTTTATTATTTTTATACCACTTTAATTGTTAATAAAAAAAGAAATTTAATTTATTAAAAAAATATCCAACTAAATTTTATAATTATTTTTTATTAATAATTTTATTTACTTGTTTATTTATTACTTTATTACCTTAATTTATTCATAATTTCATTTATTTAGTATTTTATTTATTTAATACTTCATTAATTATTAATTTTGTTACTTGCTAAAATCGTCTGTTTCTTCATTATGGAAAAATTTGTTATATTTTTTTTATAAAAATACAGTTATTAATAAAAATAAATAAAATCTATTAAATTATTGCAGAAAATTAATTATTACATTTTTTACAATTTTATTTGTTCATTACCTACTTTATTCATTATTTTATTTTTTATTTTTTAGTTCTATTCTCCTTCACTATTTTTTATTTTATTTATTTAAATAAATAAATAGATTTATTAGTTTATTTATTTAGTAATTTATTTTTATTTATTATAAATCTTTTGTAATCAGTACATAAAATACAATAATTATGAAGCAAAATAAATATAAGAACTAATAAAATTTTCCAGATAATTATAAATTAAACTATCAAACGGTTAATTTATTTAATAATTAATTAATAAGTCATCATTAGTGTTTGATTTATTAATATTAAATTTAATATATTTTTATTCAGTCTGGAAAGTGACAATGTTAGAATTAATTACTGAATATTATTTAAATAATTATTTATAAATAATAAAGTTTATTTATAATTTTATTTTTTTAAGTTACCGAATAATAATTGAAGAATTAATATTGAATGTATTCGAAAATGAATGAATGAATGAAATTAGTATTTATATAATTAGTTCTTTCAAAATTCGCTTAGTTAATAATTTAAAAATTGTAACTTTCTAAAGGATTGAAAATCGTTAAAAGACCCTGAAATTAAAAATTGACTGTTATCACGTTTTGAATATGTAACATTTTTTATGATAAATGCTTTCCATAGTTTTTATCTTTTTTTACATTTTCTTCGAATTCTTTTCTTATTTTCTGTGTTTTTTCACTTTATTTTTGAATGATTTTTGAATTTTTTGCTTTTTCTTCTTTTGGCTTTTTTCAAAAACCCCTTTTTTTATTATTTTTTCTAATATCATTATTATTTATTAATTAGAATAATAATTAATTTTGAAAATTGAATTAACGTTGTTAATGATAATAATATTGATAATAATATTAATATTAATAATAATAATAATAATGATGTTCCAATTGAGACAATTGAGAACAATTGAAGACATAAATTTTAGTGAGATAAATAATTTAGTTCGTGTGAATTGAAGTTACAATTAATTATCGCAATGCTTTAAGAAAACTGATGAAGTTCTCATTTTGAATTCTCGTTGGTAGTTGCTTGTTAAGCAAAGATTATGTTATCGCGCCAAGCAATGTGTTTTGTAACGCGCTGCTTGGCACAGAATATCAAAACTCGTCTTTCTCTATACTATAAAAGCACTTATTTTCACATGATTGCCCTCGCCACAATTTTTATAATAAATCAAAAAAAAAAAAAATTTACATCATTTCAAATAGCCATTTATTAATATGAATAAATAAAGGGGCATTTTTCTACAGTCCGTGCGTAGTTATAAATAAATAAATTTAATAAAACGAATTTTTAAAATTAAGTATAATTTAATAAATAATTTAATAGATAATTAAGAAAAAAATTTTAATAAATAATATTTCAATAAAAAAGGAACCCAATCAAAAAAATTCTGTAGAATTTTACTAGAATGATTTTGTAGAATGATTTTAGGTAAAATCTAGCGAACTTTCTATGGAATTTTACTAGAACAATTCAATACAATTTCTAAATGAATTCCGGTAAATTTTAAGCAAAAATTTAGACAATTATTTCTTTTAGAAATATTAATTGACTACGAGTTTTAAATATTAATATTTTAATGCCATTTTTCTGTTTTTGAATTTCGCGGCAAATTAGTTCTTTAAATTACCGCCTAGACGGCATGAAAGTTCTCTCACAAACGACATGAAGTGAATAGAGTAACACGAATTAAAAGAGCGGTGATGTAAAATTCTTTCATTTAAGTTATGAAATGAATAATATTGAAAATTACATTAATAAATAAATTGCAAATAATTATTTTTAATGGAAAAAATTAGAGAAAATAAAGTGGGGAAATAAGATCATTTTATTTATCTATTCTATTCTAGTAAAATTCTAAAGAACTTTTCCTACTGGAAATTTAATAAATAAACATTTTAATATACGAAACATATATATACAAACAGTAAACAAACAATAAATAAACAATTGAATAAGAGAAATTAGTAAATAACTTTTCCAAATATAAATATTTATTCTCTTCCTGTAAATTCAAACAAAAGAAACAATTAAAAAAACTTAGTCAAAATTACATTAATTTAATTACGTAAAATAATTTATTTATTTTATTTATTATTTTATTTAACTAATATTTTTATAAATTATTTAGTTTAGATAAATTTAAATAATATTAATAATTATTAATAATACATAACAAAATAAATAATAAAGAAAATAATAATTTACATCTTACAATAGAAAATAATTATGGCTTATTAATTATTAACTACTTTTTACTAATTATTAATTTGTAATAACAAATTAATAATTAGTAATAATTTGTTACTAATTAATACTAATAATTAATTTGTCGTTATTAATTAGTATTAATTTTTTAAACAAAAAATTATTATATTATTGTAATAGCAATAAATAATTATATTAATAATAGAAATAACTGTACTGAAACTAAACTACTCTATGTAAAACTATTAAATTAATAAATTACCGTTAACTAATTAATTATTAATTAAAATTGAATTATTGCTTAAAAGAAATGATTAATTTTTTCTTCGAGAAGAATATTTCTTTTTTTATATAAAATAAAAGAAGTCATATATTGAGAATTTATTAAAAGACAAACAATTGCCACTAGTTTTGCATGTAAATTATCGATTGTTTTAAAAAGAGAAAATGAACATTTTATTATTGCCAGTGGCTAGCAGATGACAAATAAATTATATTTTTGACGCATATCTTGACTTTACAGTTCAAAACATATCCTGGAAATGACACGGAACGTTATTTCCGGAACGATTTTTATGCAGATATAAAGCCATGAAAGTTTGTCACGTAATCTAAGTGGCGTAAAAAATTTTCATCTTCTTTATTTGCAAATTTCAATTTTCTCTCTCTCTCTCTCTTTCTCTTTCACTCTCTTCTTCTCGCTCGCATCTTAATGGATAAAAACCGGTAGGAGAAGTATTTATCGGTGCTTGAAAGGGGCGTCGCGAACGTCTCTCATGTCGGCTTAATATTCCGCACGATGTAACAAATGTTGCGAGAGAGATTTCCAGAAAATCAAGCTGCCACACGTGCTTTGTCTTTGTGCTTCAATCTTGGAATTTGAGATTTTTTTTTCTTTTAAATTCATTTTTTTTATATTCGAGATGAAGCAATTTGAGATTTTACCTTTGCGCGGTTAGTTTTCTAATTGGATTTTTTTAATTTTAGTTAATATTTTATTAATTTTGTTTATTTTATTCTTATATTTATTTTATATTTCATTTATTTTATTTATTTAAAAATTGAAGCTTAAAATGTTTAAAATTTATTGATAGATTGAAAATTGTTTATCAATTAAAATTAAGAATAAATAAAATTTCGATTAATTCAAATTTAGACCAAAAGGAGATAGTGAATTAGAAGAGAAAAGTCTAAATAAATTTTTCAAATGTAAACATTCTTTTCTAATTTTAAAAAAATTTTATTCATAATAAATTTTAATACTTCTGATTAGTGATTACATTTGATATTAT